CATCTTAACAGTGAAAAACGACCCGGAACACGTTCCATTTCCCGCCGGATGTCATTCCCTTGTGGTTTTTTTTTTTTATATTGAAAAATTCACATTTAGGGAAAATTTAAAAACACAGATTTTGAAAAGAGAATAATGTTGTGAATCCTCACCTGAGGACATTTTATCATAGACTTTTAGAGAGACTGGAAGGGGGGAAAGGGAAGGGGGAAAGGGAAGGGGGGGTATTGAGGGGAAGAGAGAGAGAGAGACATCGATGGGAGAAGAACACATGGATTGGTTGCCTCCCACTCACACCCCACCTGGGGCTGGGAATCAAACCTGAGATCCGTCCGGGCCAACACTCTAACCACTGAGCCACACTGGCCAGGGCTATTCCTATTTGATAATCTGTTGCTCATTGTTTTTGTAACACAACCGTTCCTTTCACAGGATAAACATACAGGGTCAGGCTTACGTCCATAGGAACCGAACCTTAACCCACTCCCAACGCATTTCTGAGACGTTCGTTCGGATCCAACCCTCTCTGCTCACAGGCTGCGTGACTGGCCCCTCCGAGCGGAAGAACCGCAGGGTCTCCGCATCTCAAGGACACAGAAGGAAAACAAACCTCCCCCACGTTCCTTGTTCCTTTGGCCCCAAATCAGCACTCGAGCAAACGCCGTTTCAGCCCACGGAAACCTCACAGCGAATGAGCGGCCGGCCCCGAGACCGCGAGGCCCCCGGGCCAGCCCTGGCGCCGCGTGGAGAGACGGGCGCCGCGCAGGCCGCTCACCTCGGGGATGCAGTCCTCGTGGGTCACCACGCGCACGATGTCGTCCAGGGGCAGCAGGGAGTTGCACTTGATCTCGGTGTAGACGTTCTTGCCCTCGGTGCACACGGCCAGCAGCTCCACCAGGTGGATGTGGTACATGAGCGGGCTGTTCTCGTCCATGCGGTCCCGCTCCGACCGCATCATCTGGATCAGCGTCTGGAAGGAGGCCCGGTCGTTGTAGAACACGAGCACGTCCTCGCCGGAGTTCACCAGCTGCAGGGACACAGGGCGTTCGCGTCACGGGCGCAGGGGCGGGCGGCATGAAAAGCACCTCTCTTCTCGCCCGGCCGCCTGGCTCCGTGGGTGAGCGTCGCCCTGTGAGCCAGGAGGTCACGGTTCGATTCCCGGGCAGGGCACATGCCCAAGTTGTGGGCTCCATCGCCATGCGGGGCGGGCAGGAGGCGGCTGATCGATGATTCTCTCTCACATCGAAGTGTGTGTGTCTCTCTCTCTTCCTCTCTCTCTCTCTCTCTCCCTTCCTCTCTAAAAAAAATCAATTAAAAAATCTTTAAAAAAATCAGATTGGCCCTAGCCGGTTTGACTCAGTGGATAGAGTGCTGGCCTGCGGACTGAGGGGTTCCAGGTTCAATTCTGGTCAAGGGCACATGCCTGGGTTGCGGGTTTGATCGCCAGTAGGGGGCATGAAGGAGGCAGCCAATCAATAATTCTCTCTCATCATTGATGTTTCTCTCTCACCCTCTCCCTTCCTCTCTGAAATCAATAAAAATATATTTAAAAAAATCAGATTGGACTCTTGCCTATGTCTGCAGTTTAAGTTCACAATGTGAGAACACACACACACACACACACACACACGGGCGCACAGTGCACATGAGCAATTACTTTTGTGCCTTCACATGGCTCCAGGAGAGGGTCCAGTTCCAAGTACAAGATTAACTAACTTAACATCCTAGGGAGCACAGGA